CCTCTTCGGCATTCGTTAATTAAGAAAGAGAGAGAGAGAGAAGCAGTGAGAAAAAATAAATTAAGATTGTGGAGAGAACGGCCTTCATTGAGTGGCCGACTGTTGGGAAGATTGAAGTATTTCACATTTAATAATATTTTCATGCATGTAACGTTTCATTTTTTTAAACGAGTGGGTTGGTATTGTATAAGAAAATTACGAAATAATTAAACTTCATTTTAATTATTTCGTAAACGTTTCATTCAACATCCTTTTTTTGTGAGGGGGTTGATATAGTTTGCCTTGCAAGCAATGTTTACTGTGTTGCACGAAGACGGAACGTAGAAAAAAGTTTACGAGCGAATTTAAAACAAATAAAAAATGCAAATGTAGGGTCATTATTTAGTTTTAGAAAATTTCAGTTTTACCGTGGCAGATCCGTATCTCCAATGACATTATCCGCTGAAACACCCAATAGGACCTGTTTCTGTGTCTTGGGTTCCCATAAGCTTTATTATCTCTCAATTTGTCAAATAATCCAGAGTAATCCTGAGATCTCAACTTCGCATTTCATTCCTAGTTCGGACCACAGCTCTCTGAAAAAATGTGTGCCAAGGAAGGACGAGGGAAGACTTCAGCTCATATTGCCCATGAGAGTAGATTACGCGAGTATGGGCGCGCCTTTACTTGTGGTTTTGTAGCCGATAAGGATAAAGAGCGAGTTTCCTTTCAGCCTTTATCGGTGCCAGTTCCTTGCCGCAGTCAAACACTACTGGGTGTGCGATACTTTGCGATTTATATAAAGTTAGTTAAATTCGTCTGGGGTACTCAGTGCTCGTCAGTGTGTTGAGAGTGAACTCTCACAGGCATCAGTTTGCACCACCAAAATTCCAGTTGATTCATGCAGTCAAGAAGAAACGACACAAGCAAACGAGACTAAGATTATGTTAATACTTCTTATTGTCCTTCCTGTCCAGATAGAAGTCGTCATGGTGCCCTACAAGCTAGTGGTCGTTCGTGCTATAATCCACCCCGAAATCCACGTCACGGGTCGTCACTCGTGGAATTCACTGTCCGACTTCGCAATGACATCGTAGTTCGCTCGCTAGTTGCGTACCGGCAGTATTGCAAGAGCCAGCACGATGGCTACCTGCAGTGCTGCAAACCTTTGCCGCCAAATTGCTGAAGCACCAACGTTTTCTGCATACTGCGACTGCTCACTGAACTGTCTTTGTCGCGGAGTGAGGCGCTGATGACTACTGGTACTTGTGACCTCTGCTGGTGAAGATCATCAGAAACACGGGAGGGGGAATCCTTGTCTTGCAGGAAGCATGCCAACTGGGGGGGGCTCACAGTGACACCGGGGCCACATTATAAGTATTCACAATGCTGTTCGCGGTTTTTTTCGGAGGAGCAATGCCCCCGAAACAAGTGAGCGACAAACAGCAACAACCGACACACCGACCAAACTCAAGCACGCGCGACATGAACGAGAAGGTATCATTGGCAGGCTTGCAATCACTATCCGTTTTGGTTAACTCGAGTGATTTCAGGTTTGCAGAAGGATACTTTTGCGTTCATGGTGCTGGGAAATAGAACTTTCCAGAAAGGTTCTCCTGGCAGGCGCCATCTTCAGGGTTTTTGCGTACTCCGCGAGCTTCGTTTGCTTTCCAAAGTCACGAACACGCGCGTGCTCAGGTGATCGGACGCTCGGCTGCTGATTTGTAAATATTGCGATGGTATGTAGTCACTGACAAGGTGAAAACGGCAGGGCGTGTTTTTCGAATGCCTCCAGCAGCCGCTCGTTGCCTTTCGACACGCTTTGGCAACGCGTGCACTCCCGGTGCTCATGAGATGCCGAAACGCCATTGAGGTAGGAAGCGCGCGCAGGAGACGGGTTACAGAACTGAAACTCCTCTCTATTCTTCTCTGTACGTCTGCGACAATGCACCTTTCCCACGAGGGTTCAGTGAACTAAAAATGATTGAGTGGGGCGAGCTATTGGCGACGTGAGCTATCGAAAGCGTCGCTGTGGTCGGCCCACCACAATTGGCCGAACGCGGACTATGACGTCAGCAAAGGATGTCTCATCGACGGAAATAAGAGGAATGAAAGAAAATCAATTTTGACGGTGTTGGCAGTGATGCTTTGTGATCTTTATGATTTCAGGCTTCCGCCATGCCCATTACAAACACCATCGAAATTGTTGTTCACAAGGTAATGACGTCACGAAAGGTAACTGAACGAGGGCGCCACCGAAACATCTCGCCGCTAATAGGCTCCGCTTATGCTTTCAGTCGACGCTCAGGATGTGAAAAGTTAGCGTGGTAACGCTGCGACCAAAGTGGCTTTGTTCGCCTGGATTTTCGTCGTGACGTCGTCGTCGTTGTTCACCGTCGTGACGTCGCGCCGCGTCGAGGACGACGTCGACGGGATCGTCGACGCCGACGCTGGCGTCGAAGGCCCACGTAACGTCAAACGTCCCTATGAAGTCACGTTATCGTCGTCCTGACGTCGCGTAACGTCTTTGTCAACGTCAACGCTGATGTCGGCAAGACGCCACAACGACGTCATGACGAAGCCTTTACACCGTGTAACATCGTCGCCTTCTCAAACATCAACGTCGACGCGCTCATGACGTCGTGTAAGGTCGTCCTCGTCCACGACGACGTCGACGTCGTGAAGTTGTCGGGACGTCGTCGTGACGTTGAGTTGGGTCATGTCGACATCGACGTCGACGTCCGACGCCAAGCGTCTTTATGACGTCGCGTTGACAAGGACGCCGTCGTCTTCACGTCGTATGACGTCGTCGTCGTCGACGTCAACGTCAACATTGCCGTCAACGTCGTTGTTAAGGCGATATGACGTCAGAACAAAGTCTTGATGTCATGTAACGCGCATTGTCAACGTCGGCGACGACGTTGACTACAAGGCGTCATCGTGATGTCGCAGGGTGTTGTGACACGTCAGGTCGCGGTGACGTTATGTATTGACGTGACACTTTACGTCTAGGTTGTATAAAAAATATAGCCTGGGGCTCGATTGTTCTTATGACATTGATCTTCGTGCCGGTCAAGCGTAGCGTTGGAATGCGACGCTTTTTTATATAAAACGGCTGATAAAATGCATTGTGTTAAAAAGTACCTGCTCGTTTGGTCGCCAGCGTATATTATAGCGCTCGTTTACTACTTGTTTGCGCAAATGCAAGCCACTTCGCTCGTAGCACCCTTTAATAGTTTTTTCACATGCGGAGCGTCACAAATTGCACTTCAATGGCCCCACTCAATGTTTTCTAGTTCACTCTAACAAGGGCGCAGCCATCTTGAAAGCGTCCCGGCTGGTATGCGTTAAAACATCGTTTTGATATCGTTACGTCGTTGGAAGGTGTTCACGGAAAATGCGCGACTCTCGCACATTCTTGCTTTGCCTCACCTATATTTTTTCTCGCACATTAAAATTGAAATATTTTATTGTTTTTTTGTCCCGCATACCAGACACGAAATCCACGTGACTGAGAATAAAAGGAAACGAAAAACGTCTATAAACAATTGCAAGCATGGCGCCCCGACTGGTGCCCCATCATTGCAAGCGTATGCAACTTGCACGTGAACGTAACTTTGGCAAGCTGGAAATTGCACAGGCTTGTCTGCACGAGCAGAGACATGGCGGCGGCCAGTGACCTTACTTGCAATTGTCTTGAGCAGAGGTCGGCAACCTGCAACCCCCGGGCCGCATGCGGGCCGCGTGGCAGTTTTATGCGGCCCCCGGAACGTCACCAGAAAAGCATCACCCCTGCCGCTTCCTCACAAAGACTCAAGGACCACACGGCAATTTTGACCTCAAATGGGGTTAGACAGAAACAGGGAGCACTTCAAATTGGCATTGTCTGGTATCCCCAACTCGGGCAGAGGACGCCTTCACTACCTTCTTGCCTTTTCTTCGCCTGTTCCCATCCTTCCCACTTCGTAACTTGGCATCTGGGCCCCTCCGTGCCGGAATCATGACGACTTGGCCCGCCGCTGCACAAGGTTGCCGACCCCTGGTCCATAGACATACGATAAAGAGCTTCTGGCAGGTGCCATCTTGAGAGTTTGCGCGTACGGCGCGTGCTTGCCTCAACTTCCTAAGCAACGAACACGCACGTGCTGGGTTGTGGAGATTGCACACTGGGCTTTCACTTAGAATGGCGGGGGAAACGGTCTTAGCTAAGTCTGTGCGAGAGAATTCACTGGCAAAGCTAGCGTACGAGTGGACTGGCACGCCGAGCCGAGTGTCAAGGGCTCGCACGTCCCATGCTTGGAAGGCTTTCTAGGGGGAATTCCCTCAGTGGATATCACGGTCTGTGGATATACAACGGTGTTGGTGCGTTTTGTTTCTTTGTATCCTCTCGCGCGTGCAAACGGACGCTAGCACTTTAAAGGCGCGGGCATGAAGCGGTTTTGGATCGCTCCTAATCCACCGAAGGAATTCCCACGAGACCCCGTTTCTAAAGGGCCCACTTTGGTGCTTGAAGGTGGTCGTTATCAGTTCTTGCTGTTTCCCGCTCAAGCCATGACACGCTGGGGCGGTCCTTTAGACGTCGAGATTACGGTGGTCGTCCCGGGTGTCATCTTCATTCTTTGCCGAGGTGAGCGCAGTTCAAGGTTACACGGTAGTCACCGCGCGCCCCTCAAGCCGAGGTCACAGTGCGAACACATCGTACAAAAGACAGTTTGCAGACGCTTTCTGAGGGGAGTTATTCTTTGTGTCGGCATGACGACTCGTCATGCCGCCACAAACATCGAACGAGCTCGAGGCGCAGATCATCCTCTCATCATCCGCAAACACCGTCCTCTTGTATGACGTGTGGTTAATGTGACCGAGGCTTTAGGGGGCTAAGGGGGTCACGTTCACGCGTCTTGCTCGTGAGTAGTCCCCACAGCATGGTCCTGCGTGCGTCAGAGCGGCTGTGCTGCGGCCATCATGCCCGCGGCGGCCGCTGCCGCTGCCGCCGCGGCTGCTGCGGCCGCGGCCCCGTGCTGGTGCTGGCTGTGCAGGTAGCTCTGCAGGTAGTAGCTGTGGTGGTGGTGGTAGTGGTGCTGGTGGTGGTGGCCCAGCAAGGGGGACACCGCCCAGCGGGGCTTGGAAAGAAGCTCGGCGTCGCCGTAGCCGCCGCCCGCGCCGCCGCCGGCCCCGTAGTGCATCGACGGGTACATGCCACCGCCGCTGCCGCATACGCTGTCCGAGGAGGGAAGCAGAGAGTGTACGCTTTACTGTCACGCAATCTTTTTTTGATGTAGGATCTGTCCTAAACCTGACTATGCGAGAAAAAGCCGGCATAACAAGGCCCCAGAAAAAAGCGACAAGGATGTGACGTCGTTCGCTAAATTTAACTGGCGTATGTCTTGCCAGATTTAGCGCAGGGTGCTCAGGTGCACGCCACTTTACGATCCATTAGTGGGCCTTTGGTCCATCGCACAGCACATGCGCAACGCGGCGCAGTTTAAGCTGCCCGGGGAACCCAAAGCGCTCCCCCACCAACTTATTATTCTATACAGAATTTTGTCAAAGCTGACCAAAGGGCTTAGGGAGATTTTGTACGTTTATGAGACCTCATGCCAAAAACGTTACGCTTGAGTGTCACAAAAAAGCGTTACTTAAAAGTATACATACAGGGTGTGTTTTTTAAAGATTTACAGATTTGTTTAAAAAAAAGTAATGCAAGTTACACTTATGCGGTTTGTGCAGGTGAGTTCTACGGCCAGGGGGACATTATGTGGGTGGCTAATCTTTGCGAAAAGTCGGCTAATTAAGTAAAACTCGTTAATTAACTCTTGAAATAGTTAAAATAGACATTAGAAACTCGTTTTAGTAAATTCCGATTGATGACGCTCAGTAAGTTCCAATTAGAAACTTACTGGGCGTCATCGAAAACCACTAAATAAACTCTTTTCAGAGCGATTTGAAGCTCGGGGGGAACTCGGGCGCGCACCAAAGTTACCACTAGTGCAGCAAGCACAAGGCTAGCCGTGGCAAAACGCGATTACCATCGAGTTCCGCCACAGCTCACACGCTCTTATTGACATAGCTTTCTGTCATAACCTACAACAAGTTGTTAGAGACGCAACGCACGTTACTCCACACAATCTAGCTCACTGCTCGAGTTATGTTTTGTCTCAGAGTCTGGCACTGCTAGGTGTTCATGCAAGAGTTATGGAAGGCATATCGGATCAGGGTATTGTAGTTTGTGACTTTCCTGAATTTTTTCGTGTAACGACTCAAAGAGAAGCCAAGACGTACAGTGATTACAGTAGGGCGAGTGATGTTGACATATTAGATTATCTGGAGGTGATCAACATTCGACAACGTCTCCGACATTAAAATGCAGGGCGGTGTGAGCTCAGACACATTATGGTCTTTCTTCAAAAAGGGCCGTCCACATCTGTACCAGTAGGTTCGTTCCTATGCTCTCAAAGAAAGTAAAAAAGTACAATCCTTAGATAACGCGCGAAATTCTTCGTTTAAAACGGGAGATTAGCCGGGTGAGAAGAAACCTCAAGAACATGAGCGGCATCTTGGAAGTGCTACGTAAACAGCTGCGCACTAATAAAAAAAAAAATGCTCGGTTTCGCTTTTTAACGTAAAAAATGCTTTCTTTCTTGAAGGATAACCCGCAGAAATTTTGGGGTTACTTATCAAAGAAAAGCAAGCCATCGAAGGCAGTCAAGCATAACGATCAGATTGTCGAAGACGACGAGGAAATAGCGAATTTGTTTAACCTTTTTTTTTTTTTCGTCCGTATACAATAACGGCAATTCCCAATTTGCTATTGTATAGCAATAGCAACTTCAGAGTTCCGGACGTTGTTGTGTCTAAAGAGGTTATCTTCGCAACACTTTCTCCGAAACGACGACAACTAATCCAGCGGGCCAGACGCGATGCCGAGTATCTTTCTCCGCGGATACGCTGAATGGTGCTCAGACACTTAGATGTAATTTACAATCATAGTTTTTTTACTGGTGTGGTTTCCAGCGATTGGAAGAATGCCGGAATAGTCCCAATCCACAAATCCGGGAGTACTATCGAAGTGCGAAACAACATGCCAGTTTGTTTATTATGCTCTACTGATAAGGTTATTGAGCAGTTCTTAAACAATCACGAAACGGATTTTCTTGGAAGAAAAACAACCTTTTTGGTGCGCGCAGCAGCACGGCTTTAAGCGCGGCTTATCTACAGTCCCGCAGCTTCTGCATACAACCCACGTGCTGGCAAGGATACTAGATAAATCCGGCCAAACAGACGTCATTTTCTTAGATTTCGCAAAAGCGTTTGACCACAGAACCATCCCAAGCTTTTGCAGAAGTTGAGATGCATCCTTAATAATAATAAAATAGTTGCATGACTTGACTCTTATCTGAGCAGTCGTACACAATATATAAGCATCATAGGTCGTGAGCCACAAAAGACACGCGTTGTTTCCGGTGTACCGCAGGGGTCAGTGACTAATTGGGCGTCTTTTGTTTTTGATGTTTATCAACGATCTTGAAATAACTTATCTTTCTGTTAAGTGTCGATTTTTCGCTGATGACTGCGTCGTGTTTCAGAAATTCTGTGTGGTTCTGACCAAGTCAACTTGAACGCCTGCTTATCGCAGATATCATCATGGTACAACATAAGGTGAAACGAAGCATAGCTTCCGTCACAGCGGATAAACAATGACTGCTTTGATGCCTTCTCAGACGGCCCCCAGTCACTCATCAATGACGACGCGAGACTCTAAATCGACTGGAAATATTAGGTACCATGCAGTTTACGGCGGTTGTTTCTTAGTTCTTTGTTGTTTTTGTGTCACATGCACACTGCGCGTACAGCTTTGCTCATGTGTGTGCACAAATCTACCTATGCTTACGTACCTGTTTACTTTTGTCGTACATAATTTTGTTTTTACCCGATGTTTGGTTCTGATTCTAGTAATCTTTTCATTGTTTTTGCCTTGGCCTCTTGATAGGCGGCCGGCGATTTTCACCAACAAATAAATAAAAAATATGGGTTCAGTCACACTACTCCTCCGCGTCGCACAAAAGACACGGTGTTCGGAGCAATAGACCCTTTCCAAAAGTCTATCGAGCAACATTGGCGGTCGCCATTGCTTGGACACGAGGCGCGTGCTTGGATCCGAGTCCTCGCCGAACGCTGACGTCACACTCGTTTTCAGTACGAGCTCAGACTTTGTGATCAATCAATGGCGGACAGGAGATGGCGAAGACTTTTGAAAAGGGTATATTTTCTGCGAACACGCCTCACGGTTGTTCAAAGCATCTTGGCTTCATACACACGTATGCTTCGAACATGCCTGGAGTCAGTGTTTGTATGGCCAATGAGACAAGGAGGAAACACGCTTCAGAAACTGTCTCCATACTGCCTTTTCTACGGTGAATTAAAAGTGCGACAGTTGCTTAAGGAGTCCAATGCAGAGCGCGAGTTCGTCTGCTTTCTCACAGGGGTTAAGACGACGTCAGAGCGCCCAGCTCTTATTAGCTGATTGAAAAAAATAGTAGGTAGAGCTGGAGGCATCATTGAGGTCTACGCGCCATCTTTTCAATCCATGCCAATCGGAGCTCGGCGTCGTTCTGACGTCATCGCAACTCCTGCGCAAGAAGCAGGCGACTTGCCCTTCGGCATGTCCTCAAGCCCCGTATGGTCGGATGCAGAAGACCCACGATCCTCCCTGAGCTGTCTGCAACGCCGAGTGAAAGGGTTCACACGAGTATCGGGCAGGACGAGTGGGCAAAGCACTCGCGAGCATTTGTCGAAGTAAAGATGCGAAAGACTGACCGAATTGTATTTGAATACAAATGCTATTAAAATTTCGAGAAAACATGCAAGTACTAGATACATAGCTACCGTGTTCACTGCATGTGTATCGGTCTTGGGGTACGGTGTGTGGGAAGATAACCATCACTCTCAGTAGTATTATAAACCAAAATTTGCAAACTAACGTTTTTTTTTTTTTATTTTTTATTTTTAGGTTATGTTACTATTGCAGAATTGGCGCTGATTACAATGAGAGGCTAAAGCAATTCACAAGTTACGCAAAAGATTATCTCAAACTACACTGAAAGTATGTCGCTGCGTGAAACGTTCTTGGTTTAGCGCCAGTAGCCTCCAGGCCTTTTTTCTCAAGCTCTGCCTCTAGGACTCTCCGCTCCTCTCCACCCCATTGCCCGCCAAACGTATAGGGGAAAATGACGTCACATGGCTCGATATCACGTGACCTGCACACAAATTCAGTTTTTCCGCTTAATTTAGCGTGACAAATAGCGGTTACGTTTTGTTTTGTTTTTTTTTTTGGCTGCACTAAATTTGAAAACCCTGCTTCTAAACGTTTCACATTAAAATACATCGGACCTTAAAACATTCATCAACCTGTTTTCGCATATTTGTCGCTCAATTGACCTTTCCAAACGTGCGGGTCACCTTGTAGCTGCTGCGCCAATTATCCGGGCCCGCCATTGTGGGATCAAGTACTCCAAGTGAGTATGAACACGAGGGCCGCGTGTGCATTCGGCGTGAGTACGGCTGAACGAAAGAACTGCTAAAGAGGGAAACTTGGCACCAGCCCTGACGAAATGCCGTGCATAGAACGCGTGCTCGGGAGAGAGAGAGAGAGAGAGGGGGGGGGATTACCTTCGTGTGACGGTGACACAGTATATCATCTTTCCGTATATTACTCGTTTGCATAACGCTTTTGATTGTCACATGTTCACCAAGTTACCTTCCCCAATAATGTATTCTACTCAGTCTCTGGAAAGCTACATTCAAGAAGTAATTCGTTACAGTTACACTTACTATCAGATAAAAGTAGCGAGGATAGTGTTACAGTTGCCGCAACAAAATGGTAATTTGTTAACGTTACCGTTGCATTTAAGAAGTGACGACGTAGCTCTAAATTTACCTTTCCACGAGGGTATAGACTACAAATAATAGGAAATGTACCCCACCCCGCCCCCATCCACAAGCCAATGAAATTGCAGAAATTAAAAGTAAAGTTGGCACAGGTTGGCAGGAGGCGTACATGACACTCAAAATGTCGGAACACATAATTTGGATTACGGATTAAATTTAGCAAAAAAGTAACCAAGTTACAGTAACGCCTTACTACTCAAGACTAGTTCTATTCTAAAAACATCTATCGACGAGCAAGAGATATACAGGTTGTTCTTTCGCTTTACGACCTGCTTTTAGGAAGGCCGTGATAGCTACACGAATACGGTCTGTCCAGGTGAGATATACCTCCAGGATTACATAATATAGGGAGTTAATTGTCACAAAAGGTTTGTTGAATAAATAAAACTTGTTAATTCAGTTCTTAATTGGTGGAGATAAACATCTGGTACGAATTAGAAACTTCCTGAGCGTCACCTCAAACCACTACATCAGGAGGCTTTCGAAATATTTGGAGGGCGTGGGTAATGTAGTCGTACGCTAAATTTCGCATTCGTGCAATTGGCGCGAGTAGCCTACGCCTTGGCTTCTTTCAATAGAAGCCAAGGCTTAGGCCAGTTGTAATACCTTATGCGCATAAGGTGAGACACAATATAATGAAAGTGGGGCAAAACATGGGGTTCCTGTATTATTCTCAGCTCTTCAAAAATTGGGCAGATTGTGCGTAAAAGTGGACGAGGGGAGACACGCGTCGGTGTCTGTCAGAAGAAACTTAAGACCAGGTATGTGGAGTGTAGCGAGGGCGTGGTTTACCAGATTCATTTATCATGTGGCAAAGTATACACAGGCCAATCGGGTAGTTGTATAAATGATAGGCTCCGGGAGCATGCACTGACAGTTAGATCGTCACCCTCGGGAAATCTGGCTGTGCACTGTAACAGATGTGGGTGTGTCCCGAAGTTTGACAACACCATTATCTTAGCCCGAAACCGAAACAAAATGACAAGGGAGGTATCTGAAGCGTTTTTCACAGCTGAGTCCGTTGAAGCAACGTGTGTCAGCGCTCCATCGATCGCCCTGTTTGGCTCTCAGGTGAGGTTTTTAAAATCTTTCCTAAAGTAGATAGCAGACAGACAAGCAGTGATTGGATGATGTCACATATCTGTCGTACATGTCGTGATTTCACGGTATATATATATATATATATATATATATATATATATATATATATATATATATATTTTCCGAGAATAAACTTCAGTTGCAAGTAGCGCTCTGTGTTGTTCGTTTCTTTTACTTGTCCATTGTTTTTAACGCCTTTACCCTCGAAAAATATACCCAATGTTTCTTACTTTATTCGCTAGATAGCGCCGAACCAAACAGCATTGCAGGTTGCCTCTATACAGCCCAAGAAAACACCCTGCATATTTGACGTTTTCGTAATGAAACAGACAAAGGAAACGAGGCAAACTGCGCTGTCCATTTGCTTTTAGTGGGCAGATCGACTAGGCAGTTTCGGCTGTATCAGACGATACAGTCGAGTTGATGACGAAGTATTGCCGGTTCTCGTCTGTCGCGCCGGCGGGAAAGGGGGCGGAGGGCTTTTTGTCCAGCCCCAACAGAGCTCAGCGTCTACGAGAAGCAAGGCCTGCGGACTGGGTTCCTTACGTCAACTTCCTCGATCGAGATTGGGCCACCGGTTTGACACGAGTGCCGCGTTAGCGTTCGACAGGGACTCGCGTTAAAGCGGTGCTTCACTGGTTGAACCCATGCCCCAGCCGAGCGCAGACGCAGCGTTCGATTACGTCAGTTCAGAGCGCCGTCAAAAACAAACTAATTCATGTTGTTCTCCCCACGTGTTTAGCTGTCAACTTCGCCGCTTGGGGCGCTACGGTTGAATCTCCCAAGTACTGCCCAATAGAGAGCCTAGATTTAAGAGAGGGAGCAACTGGAAACATGAAGAGCGTTGCAATTCAACGGCAGATGCCTCCTGCGCCGATCAATCGCGAAGACGCGTGCGTTTCGGTGTAACGTGGCACGAAGGGACATACCAAGGTTAAAGAAAGAGTTAACGTGTAGGACAAAAACGACACAACCCCATCTTTTGCTAACTTTTTTTAAATTGTTATGTGTCCGTTGCTAGTTGATGTGGTTGTGTTTCTTTTGTACTAAGTGTTTATCCTTTCTTTGATCTTGACCCGCAGCAAAATGCTATTTGCCCATCAACACGAAGGAAAGCAGGTAGACATACCGAGACGCTCGCAGGCGATCAATGCTTTCTTCATCTCCTCGCGGCTCGTATTGCAAACGACGCCCTTAAACCACGTGGCTTCGATCGAGCAGTTCGAAACACTGTGCAATATAGGCAGGCTACTCCTCCCCGAGAAGGTCCAGGGACCACGTCGAGTGACTCCCCGGGGCGCGTCTATCTGCCTACCTGGGAGCCGAGGGCGTCGTCCTGTGGGTGACCTCGACGCAGGGTGCCTTGCCCGGCGTGGCGGCGACGGGCGAGGGCGAGCAGGGCGCCATCTTGTTCCGGAGGATGCGGCTGATGCTGCTGACCGACGGCACGTTGGCTTTGTCGCAGACGCCCTCGGCCAGCAGACGGTCGCGGATCTCCCAGGCGAAGATGCCCGGGTCCTTGCGCTTCAGCTCCCGGATCGAAGCCACCACCTGCCCGTTAACATCGTCATCGTCATCACCACCGCCCCCCGTCATTATCATCATCATCACTGCAAAACCGAGATAGACTAACACCAACTAAACTCTTACTCACCTAGATATATGCAGTAGAACAGTATGGTTGATAGCTGGGCTAGTTGGTAATCGTTGTACATACTGGAATAAAACAGCGCAAAAGATAAAAAAAGGAAGAGACAAACCAGACAGGACAGAGCGCTGACTCGCAACTAAAACGTCTTTGCTCAACGAAAAAGATAAAGACAAAAAGAAAGAAAAAAGAGAAAAAAGGAAGAAAAAGAAGAAGAAAAACACACAGATTATACTACGCAAACGCACGCGCACCCTTTTGGAAGTCTTAGCTCCGAGTCAGAGCTCTGTCCTGTCTTGTTTGTCTCTTTCTTTTTATCTTTGCGCTGTTTTATTCCATTATGCAGCCGAACAAGTCCGGCACCTCGCGGAACTTTACTAACCCCCCTTTCGCGTCTAGGCCCGTCTTATATTGAACTCCACTACAGGGTAGATCCAAATTGGTTTCTAAATTCTGCGGGGGAGAAGAACCGCTCCGTGGAAACCGCTCTAAATCAACGAGCGGAAGATGGAGCCGCATTTTCGCTGCCTAGCCTGTTCTCGCTTTATTGCGCGAGAAGATACCGGCGGCATGCAATGTACAGGGGTAAGCAACCAGTTGCGGCAAAATCAACACGCCATAACCTCGCGTCTGCTTCGTTCAGATTTTCTTTCGTGCCTTTCTCGTTCTTCCTCTCGAGATCGCAGATATCAACATTTACGATTTGCCACTCTCCAGTCCCGCCTCTACACCTCATGAACCATTCGAGGTAGCAGCGTACGAGACGCAATGCACACACCAGGAACTGCCTGTAACCACTCGTGTGAACAACCGACCGACCGAACTAGACTGGACATGCTCGGCCCGTGACGCGCATGCGCAGCGACGCGCTGCTGTCGACTTCCGGAGAGATCTCTCGAAGTTGACGGAGCGGTTGTCGGCGCGGTCAGAAGCGCCCCAAGGGGCTTGCGCTGCCACAAATGTGCGAGCGGAAGATGACCAACTTGAGCCAGACCTGCGAGTGGTATATGCGCTCTCCAAAAGCGGCGCTCTTGGAGCGCTCCAAATCTTCGAGTGGAATTCACCGTTAGGCTAGATCGATGTTATTTTATAGGGACGTACAGTCGCCCAATTTTTTAATAATATCAAGCGAGCGTCGACCGCCGGGACGGCCAGTGCCGTGCCGCGGAGGCGTGCGGCGATACCGGAGAGATTAAGCGCGTGCGCACAAAGCCCTTTCTGGTGGGAGCGTCGTCTGCTAGGCTATTCCATTGATCGCACACAGCCCCTGGTCCGTAGCAAAGGAGGGCAGGGCGCTTGCAAAGTCCAAGTGCATCACTGATACCTCCTTTTGAATTGCGTTCACAATCCTATTGACGCTAGCATGCGTAACCGCGACTGTTGTTGTTATATCCCTTTGCGTCATGCCGCCCATCTACATTCGCAAAACACGTTCCCGCCCGTGTTTCTATACACATTTCCAAAAAAACGCCCCTAGGCCGCCGCCATGTTGCTGATGGTGATGCGGCTGGTGCGACTCTCGCGCCCTCTATCAGCTAGAAAGTTTCTGCCACCCTCTTGAACTGTGAAGACCCGCTCAGCGAGGTTCTCTACGTGCGTTTTTGCGGTTTTGCATTCGACGTTTTCTGGCACCTATTGAAAGTTTCCACTTAATTTTTTTTTTACGCGTGCTGCGTACCCTTTCTGTGCTATCTTCCATTCTGAGAAATAGGGCTGGTAAGTGTCTGGCCATTCAAGCTTCTCTGCTCGACATTCACGAGAAACGAAGGAGGTGAAGGACGTCGAACGGCCGTCGACGTGATTTCGCGAACATTGTTCTCCCCCCTTCCAGAGATAATCCTCGTAGAATCCTCAGTCATCTCCAAAAATAGGTGTCCGGGTTGGGGTGGGAAACGGGTCAGTCGCGTTCGTTGCTTTGCATTGGTGCTGTTGTAAAAAAAGGAAGCTCTCCCCACAACGTGCCCCAAAACGAAGTGGATTCCGTCCGACCGTCAAGATCTGACTGTGTTAATTTGAGATCTTTCTCAAATAAATTATGTTGAGATAACGCTGCATCGTGTGGTACGTACAAAATAATATTCGAATGTTAACACTTCCTCAATTGTATGTCCGTGTCCTGTCCATTGGTAAACACGTTATTTGTGAGCGTGAAAAATGCATGCCTTTCGGCCCTCTTCTGTTGTAAATTATTTGTCACAGCTAAGCGCTGTGGCGTTTGACATGCGACTAATCACGCGGCGCCGTCAAAACTTATCGTAAGAAAAGAAACCCCAAAAAACTAGAACTATACATTCCAGTCGTATTCGTTCTCTCGCGCGCGTACCCAAGAAAAATAGTTTATAGGATTTCATTGTTTTTTTTTTTCTTTCAAATGTGGTACAGTACATTTTTAATGACTTCAGGAAAATACATGCACCATGAAACACAAAATACAGCGGGAAAGGTCGAGAATTTAGCCGCCAGCAGTGTTCGAAACTGCGCCTATCGAAATCACACTCGGTTAGGGTTAGGAGGGACGCCGTTGACAGTCTAGCCTCCAACCCAGTGACTGGGCTCTAAAACGGCTTGCTGCCCCTGGGGTCGAGTGTTTCTTGGAAAGGTGTATAGGCACTCGAGGAGGCGTAAAAATGTGCGCGCGCCCTCTGGTGAAAGAAAAGTGTGACTAGCCGGCTACATAGGATAAATCACGACAGCAAACAACGCAGTTCATAATACAAAACACCAAGCGAAAACCCTGCCTATACTCCGTTTCACTTTCCGTTGTACCGCAGCCGACGCTACGAGCCATCTTGGCCAGTCCGTCGCTACAGTGTGTCACGTAGCCTTTCCGTTGGGTAGAACTGCAGGGGGAGCACGATGTCACGCGGCAGGGTAAAAGCACTGGATTGGTTTGATGGCTCGTAGCATTGGCTGCGGCATATAGTTTAATGCACCGTTGCATTCAGTTTGTCGCGTCACCGTATTTTTATTTTTGTTGGTGTTCACAAAACTAAACGCAAACATGAAATTTAAAAAAAAAAAAGTAAATTAAACTCGAGATGACGCGCGGTTTATGCCACGCCTGAGCAGTATGGAAAAAAAAGAGAAAATAAAAACAAGCGCTGTTCAGGCTGCTGCACTCTTAGAAAAAAGGGTATGAATAGTCCTCCCTTAGGGGAGGAACGGTCTTGTAACCTATGTTCCTGTAGAAAGGGAGAAACTTTCGTCCCTGAAGCAATAGAGCAAAGTTCCTCCGTCGCCTGCATCTCAATATGGCGGCCCCGAATCGAGCGAAACGAGCCCAATAAGGCTTGACGAGGACGCTACGTCCCTTGTACGGGACGAGAGGAGCGGCAAATAAAAGCGTAACACGAGCTTTCCGCGAACTGTGTTTATTTCCGAAGCCAGATTCCCCCCCCCAGGTACAGAAACCTGCGTTTCGAAAGCAGAATACTCAGTCTTCTCATCGACAGCACTGCGATGTTAAGCGGAGACAACCGATACCCAGTTACTTCGCACACTTTGCGTCTTACCTTCGGTGTTCCTCGAGTCACAATTCCTTCGTCAACCGCACATCACGGAGAAGGGCGAACTCAATCCGCGAAACCAAAAGCCGCTCTCAAAGAGCAAACTCGAAGCCGCTGTTAATCGCGTAGCGTGAAAGAAGGTTACATCGCTAGCCACCAGATGGCGGGGTCAAGCGGAGTAATTGCAAGTCGCTAGGCTAGGTGGCGCTAGGTACCGCCCAATTCATGTTCAACAAAAATTATTTTGATATCCTCAGGCCTCTACTGCACTTGGGGATCCTCTACGATACACACAATACGCTTATTACAAGCATCAGGTGAACATACATTGAGCACATACACGGCACACACAAATATCAATACAAGGGAACACCGCACTAACGCGAACACTACACCCCTGAAAAAGAATTGGCTTGCTTTTTATGTTTATACAGCCTTGATGGAGATGCGCCTCAACGGGTAATCTGTCTCTTAGCTGTAGATGAGAAATTTAGCCAGTGCGGTACAACCGCTAACTTGGGATTTTTGACGTGCATCACGCAGTAGTGATCACTCGAACGCGTGCCGGTACGAAACTCATCCAGATCGAAACGGGCGGAGGCGGCGGGGATCGAACCCAGGAGGTTCCCAGCGCAAGCTTTCGCTCCACGCTCCGAGCTGAGACGCGTTAGCCCACTGGGCCACTTCCTCCCTTTACACCCCTGCTCTGCGTTTCCGTCTTTTATACTGGTCGTTTTGAACGGACGGAATTTCTCGGTGACTGAATAAGCAATAAAAAAATATTCCCAGCATGTTGATTTTTTCCCATCAATGTCATACCGCTGAGAGTATTTTGAATGGCTCAGGGAATGAATCTCTTATTAAAAAGCAAACGCTCGATCATGCCGTAATTATTTGAAAGTCAATAAATCAAGTCGCTCCAATGCGGTTTGAAGCCAGGAGTTTGTTTCCCCGCATGGCACGTCGTAGCCTCTATTTCTATTGTTGTGTTTGCTTTTCTATTTGTGCTGTTCGCTCAAAGTTTTAATTGCCGTCTTGAATTAATCCCTGTAGAGCGGATATTCACTCAGTTGGAATTGATGCTTCACGGGCTGAGAAATCGCTTTTCGATCAACTTGAATGCAGTCAAAGCCGCGACTTGCGGCAGGTGTTAAAGGGACACTGACACCCCCCCCCCCCCCCCCCAATTTTTTTTTATTTTTTGCCAGGCGCTACATTATGGTGTCGGAGGACTACCCAATTAATATTGTGCAACGGAGTAGCGTATTTTTTTTAATAAAGCCAAAAGACGCAACTGCTCGAAACCGAAACCGAAACCCGACGGAGGTCGGAGAAGTGGAGAGAAGAGAGTGGAGTGGCGGAAGTCACGTAACTACAACCGACCGTGCGTTTTTTTT